GGGTTAAGGGGTACTGCTGGGGGGTTAGGGGTACTGCTGGGCAGGGTAGGGGTTACTGCTGGAGGGTAGGGTTACTGCTGGGGGGTAGGGGTTACTGCTGGGGAGGGTAGGGGTTACTGCTGGGGGGTAGGGGTACTGCTGGGAGGGTAGGGGTTACTGCTGGGGGGTAGGGGTACTGCTGGGGAGGGTAGGGGTTACTGCTGGGGGGGTAGGGGTTACTGCTGGGGGGGTAAGGGTGCTGTGTCAGTATACCCCCCCTCCCTCCTTCTTACCTTTAATGAAGGGGGGGGGGGGACACAGCGATCCCTGGTGGTCCGGTGGTGGTAAGCACTGCAGGGGGAGGGCTCCAGGAAGCAGCTCCCCTGTCCTCCCGCTGTGTGGAGCGTTGCCATGGTAACGCGCGGCAACGCTCCACACAGCATCGCGCAGGAGGACAGGGGAGCTGCTTCCTGGAGCCCTCCCCCTGCCTCCCGACCCGGAAGCAGAGTAGGCGCCTGCCGGTTAGGATGATGCCCACTTCTGATATCAATAAAACTATTGATATCAGTATTTTTAAAAAAGGTCTTAGTTTTGATAATTCCATTTTCAGTAAAGATAGACAGATCTAAAAAGTCTATATTAGAAATCTCTATCTTAGGGGTGAAAGTCAGAGACAGGGAATTGTTATTAACATAAGAGAAAAAATCCTTTAATTCTTCCAAGGGACCACGCCAGATGACAAGAACGTCATCTATATAGCGTCTCCAGAGCACCAAGTTTGCACCATAAGGGTTATTCGACCAAATGGATGACCTTTCCCAATAGTCCATGAACACATTAGCATAGCTAGGTGCAAACTTGGTGCCCATTGCCGTGCCCTTAATTTGTAAAAAATATTCCTCATTGAAAATGAAAAAATTATGGGTAAGGATAAAACGTATTGCTTCTTCCAAAAAAGAACAAAAGGAAGATTCAAGACAAGAATCCTCCTCTAAATTCCTCCTAACTGCCTCTATACCTAGATCATGATCGATCACGGTATAGAGAGAGGTTACGTCCAAAGTAGCCCACACATAACTCTCATCCCATTCAATCGACTCCAATTCTTGGATGAGATGTTTGGTATCTTTGAGATATGATAAGGCTCTTTGGGCATATTTTTGAAGATGAAAATCTATGTACTCGGAGAGCCTAGATGTCAGGTGGTCGATACCGCTAATTATTGGTCTTCCTGGGGGTCTCTCTTTACACTTGTGAATCTTAGGAAGGAAGTAGAAAGTAGGGACTCTCGGAAATTCTGTATAAATGAACAAATAGGCAGCTTCATCTAGAATACCAAGTGCTTCATTGTTAATTCATAATTAATATTACATATATATACACATGTTCTTAATTTTTCTCTTATTAATTGTGGTTGTTCTCCGCTCTTTGAGCGGTGGAACGCATATCAGGTGGAACGCATATCAGGTGGAACGCACAGATAGAGATCCGGAAGAGAGACGTGAGCCGCATTTCCGGTTGCGTCAACAGGTCGCACCCGGAAGCACTATAGTTAAACGAACCCGGAAGTAAGTGAACAATTGGAGGATTTTTTCGGCGCGCCAAACCGGACGGATTTAAAAGCCAGGTACATTATGTGGACAACTATACCTGCATACAGAAGGACTTTTTTTCCCCTGAGGAAGTTCAAGGACGTTTGAACGAAACGCGTAGGGCTTTGTCATAGCATTTATAGTGTTTAGAGTTTTTTATTATCTTATCAGGTTGTTTTACTTTATTTTACTTGGACCTGCCGGTTATATTTGATCCTGTTGATCCTGTGATTCATCTTATGATCCCAAGACCGGTGGTTTTATATATGCCTGTTTGCCACTACAATATTGTAAGTTTGCTTTATTATTAAAGTGTATTTTCTTATCCAGATACTCTGCACTATTATGCTGTTTTATTTCCTTCTATGTACATCCTGACGTTCCACTTATCCTGAGATATTCATCGTTCTATAAGATATGCCTACAATCAATTTTGGTTTGTGAGTGTGAATTATCATCTATATTTCCACTCTTTCTTTACCATCAACAGTATTATGCTATGTTTTTTTCTGTTATCATTGTATTGTAGATTTATCCCTATTTTGTTCATATTTATTGAGGACCTGGAAGAGTCCTAATCTGCAATACATTTAGTTCAAGGGTAATTATTTCGTTTTCTAATTATTACCCACTATAAGTGTGTTCTATCCACAAGTGGGTGAATCTGTACTTTTTCTATAAGGCTCATGAAGGGCCTGATGGTATTCACCCACTAGTACTTAAGAGGTCAAGTGTGGTAATAAGTGAACCTCTTGCAGGATTATTTTATTACCTTTTTGTGGCAAAACTAGCCACTTAAGACTGTATTTCCAGTAATGTGATGTTGTAACTTTAAGGCTATATGAACTGAGTATATTCACTTGTCTGTAATTTATGCGAACGAGAGTATTCGTATGCTGGCGGCATGAAAGTCACCAGCATTCATACAGTAGTTTCACGAACTGTGAATTACAACACTGTTCGTGAAACGAACAAACTATCGAATGGGAGATCACACACAGGAGGTTGTGTGGCTCCTATTAAGTATCGCAACATTGTATCTTCAGGGTGGCCGCCGTTCGGATACCGACACGCGGCAGTTGGCCATCTTGGATCCTTTGTTAGCCCTGCGGTTGAGTGCCTGGAACTAAAATCGGCTACGCGACGGCACGAATAACGCTGGACTTCCAGGTCGTTCGGGAGCACCGGTCTTTCGGTATTTTATCCCTGCTGGTCTATTCGTGACTTTGGTGAAATGTATGTTTAGGTGTATTTCGTGCGGCGTTCGGCTAATTGTGCTGGGATCTGAGCGGTACTTTCACGAAGTATGCGCTCAGACCCCAGCTATCTGCCGAACGGTCATTCGGTATAATAGAATGAATAATGTTAAAGTTATACATTTTTATGTAAAATTCCAGTTCTGCTGCACAGAGGGATGATCCACTTAACTGGATATTCTAGTGGGAGTATCCCTCTCATACAGCAGTGCACAGTGGGAGAAATGTCTTGCTTGTTAAGTTCCCCATGTGGTCCCCTACTGTACAACCCCTGTAAAGTCAGTAGGGAAACCCCTTGCATGAGGAACCACATAAAACTGTGACTGTGATTAAAACCTCAGTTGACTCCCAGCCTGTGTCATCTAATTCTTGGGAAGGAAAGATTTATACAACGCTACCGGGATTATTGTATGCTGTACTTATTTTACCTGGATTATTCTATGCTGTTCCTGTCTACCAGCGGAGATATTGTAGATTATACTACCTCTCCGCTACACTTTTGTACCAGAGGAAAGGCAGGTTTGGTTCCTGTATAATCAACATCTGTGGCTGTGCAAGTATTTGAAGGGTTATTAAGGGATAATATTCAGGAATTAATTGAGAAGATGGTTATTAAAAAAATCAATGTAGCGGACACCATTCCCTGGTGTTCGGTTGTCCGTACCCCCTTGTTCGTCTCCCGAATGACTGGTGTGTGGCCCCCTTGTTATGCCCCAGCAAACATTGACCTCCCCTGGCTGTTAACCACAAATTAATAACTTGACACATTAGCTTGAGTGCTTTCCCTGGGTTGCTGCCATTCGTATAACTGAACGCACGTGGTCCAGGGCATGGCAAACATTTTGCCTCCCGAACACAGGCAGTGGTACATGGTTGAACACTTGGTACTAACTTTTCAGTCATGTGACTCTGCGAACCCGGGCAGACTTCGTACCGCTGCACTTTCAACTTCCCGACCATCTAGACGAACAACGTTCGGGAGATATGATTTACCAATTGGGTGGGAGCGTTCACACCATAACAGCTAGGGTTCCTCTGGAACTGTTTTGGGCTATCACCTCATGGCCCGTCTGTCAAAACTTTATGCGAACAGAACTTTCGTTCTACCAAACCAATCTGAGCACTTTTTGGATATGTTGGGCACTCAGATCGGGGCTATTTGGGAATGTGATTTTTTGTCGTGTTCCTGTATTCTTTTTGTGTATTTTTGGGGTATTGTAAAATATGTTTGCAAGTTTCTGTATATGAGAGATAATGAGTTATCCTAATTTGAGCTCAATTATCTCTCAAACACAAAGGCTCTTGGAAGAAAGCCCTGTTTTCTTGATGTGAAAACCCCATGCTAGAGTCCAGTGCATAAAAGCCGTGTGTGGCAGAATAAACTTCAGTTGTACTCCCAGAACTGTGTGTCGTCCAGTTACTGGGGATAAAAAGGTGGGCTATTTACTTGGCAGTATCTGGTTCTTGATTTCTACTCTAGGTGATCCAGTGGAGGAAAGTCCTGGTTAGAACTGGGGCTCTGCTACAATCAGGTTTTATGAATTATAAGTCATGTCAAACTAACAATTGCATTAGATGAAGAGGTAAGTAGAAGTTTAGATCAGGGTGTTGCAGTGGGTATGATCTACTTGGATTTTGGTAGGCATTCAATACAGTTCCACAAAATACATTAATGTTCAATTCAAAAGAAATTGGTCAGGATGAAAATTCTTAGATAGAACATTGGCTTAAAAATACAGTATAGTACAGTACAGTTGTCAATAATGGTAAGTTTTCAAGCGGGACACAAATGGTAAGTGGTGTCCCTCAGGGTTCTGTTCTGGGACCACTTCTATTCAACATTATAATAAATTATCTTGAAATAGGAATTATTTAGTATAGGAAGTTAGGTGTCAGTGTTTGCAGATGACACAAAACTAGGCAAAAGGTAAAACAATGTTAACAGTAGAGGGATTTAGAACGATTGAAGAACTAGGCACTTAAATGGCAGATTAAATTTAATGTAGAAAAATGCAAAATAATTCACATCCAGGTAAATAATGCACAAACATTTATATCCTAAATTGTATTGAATTAGGGAAAACAACATATTTGAAGAATTTGGAAATTGTTAAAGACAAACTAGGCAACAATGTCATTCAACAGTTGCTAAGCCAGTGAGGTATGGTCATGGATAAAAGGGGACATTATTCTCAGGATGAACATTATTGTTTTGCCTTTGTATAAGTCAATAGTATCGTTATATGCTGTGGAACTTTTGGTACCTTTTCTAATGAAGGCTATTATGGCACTGAAAAATGTATTACAGAGGTGGGCTACAAAATCAATGAAAGGAATGAAAGATTTTAGTTATGATGAAAGGTTAACTTTAAATCTGTTTAGCTAAGTAAAATGGCACCTCAGAGGACATAAGATAGCATTATATAAATATTTTCAAGGCCAATACAAAACATTGTCTGGAAATCTATTTATGAATAGGACTACATTTAGCATATAAGGTCACTAATTTAGACTTTTTTTATTTTTTTATTTTTTTTTTTTTTATACTTTAAGAACAACAAGGAGGTTTAATTTTCTGCCTGAATATGTGGTTTAATCCTAGCCTACACAGATGTTTAAGACATAGCA